AGCTCCCTATTTATAGCTATGTATAGGGAAAGGAAGTCCTAGGATCATGCCCTTTTTTAATGCCAATTATGAGGGTCGTTGATGAAGATGTAACGTTGGACATAAATGCTAAATTCCTTGTAATGGACCATCATCCTTAATGCTGCAAAATATTCTGTATTAAATGTTACCGGGCGCAAAGCATTTAATACTCCATTTATAATCGTTATTCTTTCCGGTGACAAGCGAAACAGCTATGTTCGATGGCCATCCATATCTTGTGTTCCACGTGCCCTTCCTTTAAGTGGCCACGTGTCATGTCGTATTTTTTCCTATACAAACTATAATGTTATCTTACACTTTAACGTGTAGTAACAAGGCAAAAAGGCATACATGTCATCACTATCTTAGGTGAATCATATGTAGCATTCAATACTCCAATCCATGAAGATCGTTATTTAATAAGCCAATGACAAATATTTTCATGGCTGTGGGAACTAATCCTTAAGTTCCGAAAAACGGAAGAAGTGTTTTCTTACCATTACTTCGAGCCTAGTCTTCAAAAGGTTTAAAAATATTGGCAAGTCTTAAAGTAAGGGCATTTGTAGGCATATAAATTTTATCAGAATTAAATTCAATAAAATAATTTAGACTATATATAAAATATATTTGTCAAAATAAATATTTTAGGCTAATTTAATTAGATTACTTATATAAGTCCAATATATAAGGTCCAAATGCATTGGGCTAATCCATTTAATTGGGCCACAAATGATGAGCCAATTCATCAAGCCCAAGATGTTATCTTTCTAGAGGACCAACTTGGTGCCACGTGTCAAATGGCATGGCATGCCAAGTCAAACGGAAGAGCCGATAGGATCATGTCAAGTGTCAAAATGATAAGGCATGCAAAGTCAAACTAAAAGGCCAATCAAACCGCACCACGTGTGCTAGTGACATATTCTGGTCAATCAAATACGGCCTGGTCACACTTTAATTTGATTGGTCGGAAAGAGTTTGTTCTTATCATAATTCTTTCCTCCCACAACTATAAATAGGGGTCTTCATAACTTAGAAAAAGGACCAGAAGTTATAACAAGAAGCAAGAAAGAGCTCGTGGATCAAACGCCGCAAATTTCTCTGCAAGTTTCAAGCTTCAAGCAATCAAGTTCAAGTTCAAGAAATCAAGTTTAAGCTCAAGAACGAAGAACAAATCAAGATTCGAGGAGTACGAGTTCAAATCAAAGTTCGTGCAAGTGAATTCAAGATCATCGTTCGTGACAACAAATATAGATTCAAGATCAAGCTCAAAGGCCCTTGAATTTATTTACTATTGAAAAGAAGAATGAGAGGATTCATAGATATTATACACTCATATTATTTGAAATCAAATACTACGATTGTTGCAATATTTTTTGGCCTGATTTTATTTTCTCGATGCAATTTATTGTCTACACGCTTAAAAGAGTGAGTTCTTTCAAGTAGAATTGTCCACTTAAAAAACGTAAAGTAAAGGGATCGTGATATCAAAACGGTACAAGTGAAAATATCTATTATGCGTAAAATTAATGTTATTTTGCTTTAACGATATTATTTGAGTAGCTCGTACCTTGATAATTCCATCAAGTATCGATTAGGATGCTACCTCCTACCAACACGACTAATTGTGAAGAATCTTATACGTAATTGACCCAAAAGATTTAAGGGTATTAAGAAGAAATTAAAGAAATATAGAATAATATCTACAAACCTTTGGAACCAAATCAATCAGAAACTTATGAAAGATATTATGAACTCGTCAAATTTAAAGAAGTGTCTTATCTACTATATTTCCTTTAACAAATTTCAAAAAGTTATGCTCTAATTCCCTCCCCC